GAAGGCACCTGCTATAGCAAAAGCAATTTTGTGCAAGAAAAACAAAGCAGGAAACATAGCAATATCTTATGTGAAGATATACTGCAAAGCAATAGTGATAAAAATGGCATGACACATGAATCAGTGGAACAGAACAGAGAATAAAGAAACATCCACAGACACAATTCAAATATCTGATATTCAACAAAGTCACCAAAAGCATATGTTGGAGGAAAGATAGCCTATTCAACAAGTGGTGTTGTGAAAACTAGTTATCTCTTTGCAGAAGATTGCAACTGGACCTTTATCTCTCACTACATACCAAACACAAAATCAAACTGGATCAAAGATCTAAACATTAAAACAGAAACATTTACCCTACTGGAAGACAAAATAGGCAAAACAGTTGAAGACACAGGTGTGCATATGACTTTGGTAAAAGAAACTGGGAATATAGCATTCCCTGTAAGAACTTCCTTGCATCTAAGTAAAATGAAGTTCTTGTTAGGAAGGGGAAGAGATATCATATTTGAGCTTAACAAGGTTCAGATAAGTCACATGTAAATAAATATCTGTATATAACAAAACATATGCATAACGAGAAAAAAAGGATGGGAGAATTCTTAACTAACCCAAGAAGTAGAGGAGGTAGAATTTGATCTGTGACGTGAAAGATGAATTGGATCTTTACAGGACAACAAAGCAGGAGGGAAGTGTAGTCATCACCACATTTGAGTACAGGAAGAGCGTTAGGTATGGGGAAGATTACAGTGGGAATTAACTTTGACAAAGAAGATTCAATGCTAGAAATAAAGCCATCTGACTGACCTGAGAAGAGGTGAGCCTAGAAAAAGGACTATACATCCAGGCTGCCCCATCTACTTGACGAGAATTTTCTCTTTCCCTCCAAGCAGCATGATGATCTATCTTTTTTCCTCAAGGAAAAAACTGTATATCAAGGAACAGTGAAAAGAAATGGCTGAATTGAGCAAGGTCGGGACTGGTAAGACAGGAACTGCATAGGGTCAAGGAATGAGATAACTGAGAAAGATGATGAGAATGAAATGATTAAAGCCAAGTTCAAGGACTGACTCAATGTTTGAGTAAGGATAGAGAATGCAGAGAAGAAAAACAAATAGAATCATGAGTAATAACCATAGAAAATAGCAGCTCAGGATTCAATTCTACCTCAGAAAACAGAGCAAACAGATGCATGGATGATAACTATATAAAAATCAATTAGAAGTTACTTTTATCTCAGAAGAGATGAATTCACTCTTACATTCTCCCCTTGTAATGTATGCAGTCTAAACACAAATCCAAAATGCATCATGTGTCAAGGAGAGAAGACACAAAGTAAGTTTTGCTATTTTAATTATCATGTTACTTTACCAAAAAAGCAGAAAGATATCATTAAATGTATTGTCCAGGATGTAAAATCAATATAGCCTACAGAAAATAACATCATAAAAATCACTTTCTCTTCATACAAAGAACCAAAGAATAACATAAAATTAAGGATTACCTGAATTTCTAAAGAGAATAAGGTATGTATACATGCAAATCAATGTAATACACACCTTCCTCAATACTATGTAAAATAAGAATCAAGAGTTTTATCATTTGTATTTGTAGAATAGAAAATGAGGGCTGGGGATTTAGCTCAGCGGCAAAGCGCCTGCCTGGCAAGCGCAAGGTCGTGAGTTCAGTTCCTGGTACCGGAGAAAAAAACAAAAAAAAAAGAAAATGAACTTAAATAATAAACTTAAACTTTAATAACAGTAATATTATTTAATTAGTAATATTTGAATAATAGTATTTCTTATATTTTATTTGGAATTAAGTAACTGTGAGTTTATGCATTAGCAGTTGCCTCCTTAAAAGAAATGTCACAGGGCATTAGAAACTCAAAGAAAACAAAACTGAAATCTGCCCTATACAAATAATAGTTCTAAAGATCAAAAGAAGCATAGCTGGTGGTACAGTTTATAATAAATACTGTAATGCTACTTATATTTTGCACAAAAAAGGTATCATCACTGAATTTCCATGACAACCACAGGGGCAAGCCCAGTCCACTTAGCCCTCATTAGGATGGAGAAATGCAGGAAAAAGCGTTAGTGTTCTGTGCCTTTTAGGTACCGTTATGGAAATATCAGGGCATTGGCCAGAACCAATAGCTGGAATACTATAACTGTTCAAACAGAATTAAAGGATATCTAGAATATCTTAAATGTTGGAAATATAATTTCTGTCTTCACTAATTATGCTACTTCAATAGGACCCCATATTATCAATATTACAAGAGTTAGTTAAAAGAATCTGGAAAATGTTGATAAAAGTGTACCTCACATATTCAATAAATTATGACCTGAAATAGTGTTAAATCAATCCGAGTTAATACAGGCATATCAGTGATTTCCAAATGTAATGAAAGGACAGACTTGTTCTTCCACTTGCTAAATTTAATCAACGTGTCCACCAATACCTTTTCATTAAAAGTAAGTGAATTTCATTTAATACTCATGGCTATTTTTACAATATCTATTATACATTTTGGTTCTCATCTGCACTTCTGGTTTATCAAATCAGAGAACAATGTGGTATTACACATGCATGTCCAATTTATCTCACGTAAGAGTATGATCTCAAGGTGCATCCATTTACCTAGAAATATCTCAGTTTATCCTTCTTTATGGTAGAATAGTACTCCATTCTGCTAAAAAACTACATCTTCTTTATCATTCATAATTTGATGGACATTTGGGGTGTCTCCAAGATTTAGGTATTACAAACTGTGCCACTACAAACACGAGTGTGCATATATCACTGTGGTATGATGCTTTTAATTCCTTTAGGAAAATAAGAAGGGATTTCCACAGTGGTTGCACCAGTCTACACTCTCAGCAACAGTGGAGAAGGGTTCCTTTTTCCCCACAGCCCTGCCAGCATTTGTTATTGGTTGATTTCTCGATTATCAACCATTTTCTCTGAAGTGAGATGGAATCTCAGCATTGTTTTAATTTGCATTTCTGGAAGGACCAGTCATTTTATTTTTCATATATTTATCTGCCATTTCTACTTCTCATCTGAGAAGTGTCTTTTTATTTCAGATACCCATTGTTTGACTGGGTCTTTAAATTTGGGGCGTCTGATTTTTTGAGTTCTTTGTATATTCTAGATGGTAGTGCTTTGAGGAACAGCTGATAAAAATCTTTTCCCACACTCGACTGTCTCTATACATTTAATCTTTATAATCTATATCATCCCTCCACTTTACAGACCAGAAAACTAGTAGTCATAGAGTACTATGATCTACATAAAATAAAATAACTAGGGACAAGCTAAGGTTCATTTTGCAATTAAGTGCACCTGACTCCAAAGTTTATTTAACTTTCCAATCACACAGCATTAGACCTCAGCTTCCTATAAAGCACCACGCGAGCCACTGCAGATATGAATGAAGATTCACGTCTTCCCACCTATCTGGAAAGGCACAACATGTACAGAAACTGAAGATATCATAGTGATCATTCGCTTGTAACTTGCCATTTCATTTGCTCAAACGATATCTTCTGTCTTCATAAGGTCCTCACAGCACCTCACAATAATGTTTGACAGGGGGCTGGGGATTTAGCTCAGCAGCAAAGTGCCTGCCTGGCAAGCGCAAGGTCGTGAGTTCGGTTCCTGGTACCAGAGAAAAAAACCAAACCAAAACAAAAAAAAAAAATAATGTTTGACAGGCTACCTTGTTAAAAGTCAGAGTTCACCAGTTAGCAGAGTTCCTTTTATAACAGACTTGTGATATGAAATTGCACGGTTCCAGAGAACACCACGTGCAAATTTGAGAGGATGGTTACCAAATACAAAGGACTGCTGGGCACAGTGGTTCACACCTGTAATCCCAGCACTGTGGGAGGCTGAGGAAGGAAGATCGCAAGATTGAACACAGCCAGACTGGGCAATTTAGTGACTCTAGAAGACTCAGTCTCAAAAAATAAAATGAAAATTAAAACAGGGCTCGGGATATACCTGAGTGTAAAACCCTAGGTTCAGTCCCCAGTACCATATACACACAGAAAAACACAAATGACCAACAAAAAACAGTAAGTCTAAGATTGTTCTCTATGGATTTTCTTATTAAATGACAATTTTGAGTTTTAATTTTATTAACTGGATTTTATTAGATCAAATATTTACTATAGAGAATTTGCTGACCTTTCAAAAATCCTCAATCGTGAAAAATTTCACTCATTCAAAGTCATATCTTATCATAATTATCATAAAAAACTAAAGAAAAAATCATTGTGTCCATTAAAATCTGTGCTTGCTAATTTTGTCAACAGAGCCAGACTGTGATACTCCATTTTTTGGTCAATACCAGTCTATCTGTTGCTGTGACTGCTTTTTACGTATGATTAATTTTTAAATCAGTAGACTTTCAAAAACACTGACAAGGATTGTTGTACACTTTGGTGACTTATATACGTATATATTGTGTGATGATTATCATCAGCAAATTAATTAACATTCAGGTTACTTTTCATAATTTTGGTGAGTCGTACCCAATAAGCTGAAAGCCTTAAAAGATGAGACACCCCAGAGGAAAAATTAACTGCGCCTCCAGAACGTCCCTGGACCAAAGACTGGACCATCAACTCTTTTCTGAGTACGCAAGCTGCACTGGAAAGTTCAGACTTGCCAGGTCACACAGCTGTGTAACCCAGAGCCAGTTCCCTAAAATATCTTTCTTCCTCATCTCCATCTCCAGCTCCGTCTTTATATCTGTCTCCTAATGGTTTTGTTTCTCTGGAGAACCCTAACTCTTACAGTATCCATACTTTCAAATCATATTTATGTATGCAAAAATAAATGTCCTTACACACAGTTATCTAAGCTATTTCTATGATCCAGGCACAAGTACCCAGTAGACAGAAAATGATTAATGCCTGAATATATAAATGAATCAATGAATGAATGAGCACACATATAAATCAAATACGAAAAGAATCAACCATTACCTTTAGCTGGACGAATGGAAAACGCTATCCCGTTTAGTGAGTTTACTGGTTGCCATCCAAACTGCGCAGACTTATTCTGATGATTATACAACTTAACTGTCCCCCAGAAGCATGTTTTCACCAAGAAACCTCGTGGTTTCAACACTATCTCATCCAAAGATAGCTCAAGTTTTATAGGCAGGACTTCTGCGGTCACTAAAATGTGCCCACCAGGTGTGCTGTTTCCTGTGAAGGCGAAAGACCTGCAACATAGCAAAGTCATCCAAATTTAACTGATAACTCTTTATAGTTACAAACTTCAGTCACATATAAAATGCATAACTACAGATTTATATACATATTTAATTCACAATGTGTAATAATTTAAAATGATTAGGAAAGAGAAGTGGATGACTACTAAAATATAAACCTATGAGTCTACAAACTGATGCACAGAGTTTCTATATTTTGAAACAAAATACAGTACACACTACAATTATTTGGGTGAATACATACTCCATCATGATTCTAAAAAAAACAGAAACTTCAAAAATAAAATCTTACCTCCAAAATTTTCCAATGGCAGAAGCTTCAAATATTATTGGAATGTGAGTACTAGATGTAGGAGGAATCACATGTGAAAATATTTTAGTTTTCTTAAGTTCTTCAAAATTGATATCTAACTGAATCAAAATATGCATAGACAGCATATTAATAAGATGCAATGAATGCGTATTTGTGGAGTTCACACAAATATTACCAAAGTTAAGGACAGAGGGCCCTAAAAAAATGAAAAGTTATTGAGTGTAACGTTAGCAAATATGTTCATTTATTTTGTATGTTTTCAAAATATATTTTCACCAAGTTCTATACAAATGATATTGAAAAATACTCACTAAAATATAAGAAACAATCAGCTACATTTTCTATGTAATTACTATAACTTGGTGTTTGGAGATTTCCATCCAAAATTCAAAACGAATGTATTCTAATTATATAGAAAATTATATGACAAAGCAATAAGCACAATAAAATTCAGAACACTAATTTGTAACACTCAACCAACCTCTCTACTCCTAATAAAATTTTTTTATTAACTTATTCATAATTT